TGGCTCAGCGGCTCGGCTGCTGGGCGGCTCGGCGGCTCGGGCGGCTCGGCGGCTCTGCCGCTGGGCGGCTCGGCTGTCGGGCGGCTCGGCGGCTCTACTGCTGGGCGGCTCGGCTGCTCTGCTACTGGGCAGCTCGGCGGCTCTGCTGCTGGGCAGCTCGGTAGGGGCGGCTTGGGACCGTTTAGGGACGGCGATAGGGCCGTGTAGGGGCGGCCACGGGACCGCTTAGGGTCGGCGATGGGGCCACTTAGGTGCGGCGACGGGGCCGCTTACGGTGAGAGGCGGCGACGGGGCCAGCAGGGGCGGCGTCGAGGCCGCTAGGTGCGGCGACAGGGCCGCGTATGGGCGGCGACGGGGCTGCATAGGGTGAGGGGCGACAATTGGGCCGCTGGGGGCGGCGACGGGGCCGCTAAGAGCGGCGACGGGGCTGCGGAGGGGCGGCGACGGGGCCGCTTAGGGGCGGCGACGGGGCCGCGTAGGGTGAGAGGCGGCGACGGGGCCGCTAGGGGCGGCGACAGGGCCGCTAAGGGCGGCGACGGGGCCGCGGAGGGGCGGCAACGGGGCCGCTAGGGGCGGCGACGGGGCCGCGTAGGGTGAGGAGGCGGCAACGGGGGCCGCTAGGGGCAGCAACGGGGCCGCTAAGGGCGGGGACGGGGCCGCGGAGGGGCGGCGACGGGGCCGCTAGGGGCGGCGACAGGGCCGCGTAGGGTGAGAGGCGGCGAAGGGGCCGCTAGGGGCGGCGACCGGGCCGTCAAGGGCGGCGACGGGGCCGCTTAGGGGCGGTAACGGAGCCGCGTGAGGGGTGACGACGAGGCCGCTAGGGGCCACTAGGGGCCTGGAAAGGGCGGCAAACAGCGCGCCTCGGGGAGGAGCGATTGGCGCTCTGGTCAGAAGGGAAGTTTTCAGTGGTGGGCCCAAGGTAGCGTTCCTACTAGGGAACCTACTCTATACCATGTGAAGAATGAGGAATGAATGAACTAGCAAGCAGGTGGGTACAAGTAGGAAAACCTAGAAGTGTTGTACCCCATATTGTCTACCCCACTATAGCCTACACATACTATAGTATAAGAGTTTGACACTTGATTGCGCAGATTCAGTTCTATCCAACTCGAAACTGTACTATTTTGTTTGGTTGACTATAGTGTAGCAGGGCAGACACTATAGTGGTACAATTTAGGTGAAGGTCGGATGTTGTTTCTCTGTATCTGCATGCTACAGGGCCAGGGGAAACCAGCGGAACCAGCATTTGGCTGGTTGGGCAAAGACAAAACAGGTTCTGTTTTTAGGGCCTGAACCTGGTTTGTTGTTTTCCCAGGTTGGAAAAACAGAACCAGAAGTTGTTTACCAACCTACCACCTGCTGTTTTGTCCAGCCAGGTTGGTTATGTTACTTGGAATTTTTTGGGATCATCCCTGGTTGTTCCCAGGTTTATTCCCAAGGTCCTTGCTAGCTAGAATTGTTTATTCCTTCTCTGTTGTAAGTGGATATAGTCAAATTGATTCAAGCAAATTCCTTTATTGCTGGAATTTTGTTTCTATGCAGTGCGACGGCGGAATGCTGCCCGAGTCAACGCTAGTATGCTAGCGCCCCAGTTCTAGGCAACCGCTGTTTTGAAGCTCTTGGAGCGAGCATCGATATAGGAAATTCTCACCTTAATCCAATCAATGGTCTGCAAGGTACACCCAAGGACCTTGGAGGTGTTCCCAAGGAGAGGTTTTAAATTTGATTAAGTCCCAGTAGCTTGAGATTATTAGAACAATATTTGCTCCCAATGCCAAACCCCTACTCTGCGTGTCTTGTTGGCAGATGCAGGCGTTTAGTGGGAAATTCATCATTCAGATGGATATATCAATGGCATTTCTCAATGGGATTTTGGAGGAGGATGTGTACATGACGCAGCCGCCTGGGTACGAGGATGGTACGGGCAGGGTGTGCAAGCTGAAAAGGTCCATCTACGGCTTACACCAGGCACCACGTTGCTGGTACCAGAAGTTGGCAGCTGTTCTAGAGGAGATGGGATTCAGGACCAGCAGCTGTGATGAGGGCGTCTTTCTCAAGGGGGAAGGAGAGAAGCTGATGATGTTTCTAGTTATGTGGACTTTTTCTCTTAGCAGCAGCATGTAGGAGATCCAGAATGTGCAGTAGCAGCTGATGGAGAACTTCAAGTGCAAGAACCTTGGGGAGGTAAAGTACTACCTCGGGATGCATGTAGAGAGGGATCTACTTCACATGTGGTTAAAGTTGCACCAGGAGAAGTTCATCAAGGAGCTGGGGGAGAAGTACGGATTGAGAATGAGCGCAAGGTTTGCAACTCCCCTGCCAGCAGAATTCAAGCTTGTGAAGGCTGCAGAGGATGAAGGGTTGAAGCCGAGAAGCTGTAGCAATTTTAGTCCTTGGTAGGCAGCCTCTTGTATGCAGCAGTTCATACGAGGCACGACATCTCTTTCTTTGTTGGGCAGCTGGTAAGGGTGGTGCAGAATCCATCGGAGGAGCAGGTGGATACAGTGGAGCGTGTGGTGAAATACCTAAACTCTCACCCAAGCATTGGAATTCAATACTCCGCATCTGCACAGGTGAAGCAGAAAAGGGTTGAGGTGCTGAAAGAGAAGGGGGAGAAACTTGGAGAAGGCAAGCTCTTTCTCACTTGCTTTACCGATGCTACGTGGGCCTCTGAGAATGAGGAATCCTCATTTGTGGAAGGATACATCTACGTAGTTGGGAGAGGACCTGTTAGTTGGAGGTCAAAGAAGCAGACGGAGACGGCACTCTCTTCCATGGAATCAGATTACATGGCAATGTTCCATGGGGTGAAGGAGGTGATTTAGCTGAGGAGGCTGTTAGAGGAGATTGGCCAGGAGCAGAAGGTTGATACTGTTGGTATAAGGGCCTAATAAACTCAAGCTATTGAGACTTAATCAAACTTAATTTTCTCCTCGGTGTCACCTCCAAGGGTCCTTGGGTGCTTGGTACAACACCAGCCCCTATCCTCGGGTCCGAGTTTGTAGAGAGAGGGATGAAGAGGGACTTGGTCAAAACAGCAAGAGTATTCGTCGTCCGACGCGGCGCCTTCGGGGACTAGCGCGCAGTCCTCCGTCGCCCGTCGCGGCGCCCCCCGGGGACCCGCGCGCCGCCCCTCATCGCCCGTCGCGGCGCCCCCGGGGACCCGCGCCCCGCCCCCCGTCGCCTGTCGCGCCGCCCTCGGGGACGCGCGCCCCGCCCCTTGACCACGTGCAGTGCTGGGGCTGCTTCCCCCCCCCCGCCCTTCCCCTTTGTCCTTCCTCTCCCTCCTGCACTTGCAGCTATGGGGGTGGCGGATATGGGGGTGGCGGGTGTGTGAGCCGCCTCCTCCTCCTCCGTCTCCCACTGCTGCAGCTGACGCTGTAGGGGATGGATGTGTGGGAGTCGAGGGAGTGGAGCTAAGGGGGTGCCGAGGGAGTGTGGGGTGGAGTAGAGGGTGTGGCGCTAGTGTTGCAGAAGGGGGTGTGGGGCAATGGGGGAAGTTGAACGTAGGTAGCCGTCGTGATGCCAGCAGCGCTTGTAGTCCGGAGCCGGCGAGCTCCGGTAGCCAGTGAGCCCGTTGCACCCGTCGCCCGTGGGTCAGTTGCTCCAGCCGCTCGGCGTAGCCGCGGAGCCAGTTACTCCCGTAGTCCCTGGTGCCGTCGTGCTCCGATAGCCAGTGTGCCTCTTGCTCCAGTTGCCCTCGTGCCAGCAGCTTCAGCCGCCTGCCTCCTATCTCCTCTCCTCTCACGGTCCCTCCTCCTCCTCCTCCTCACTTCGCCTCTTCTTCTGCTGCGCTGTGTAGGGTGTACCACTTCAGGGGGTGTTCAGCACAAGGCTATTCCTGCATGCACTTAGGGGGTGTGTCAGAATATATCGTATATATATTTTATATAAGTGCATGTAGTTCTAGCTTTAGTGTAGTCACATAGGTGTTCTTTGTGGTGGTGCACCACTCCTTGCATGTTTCCTCCTCTATTTGTACTTGTCATTCCATAGTACAAACCCCCTTCTTTCTTGGACAACTTCTCATGCCTAGACTAAACCCTAGGTTCCTAGTCCTAGCTATGCCTCTTATTTTAACAAATTCATGCACACAAAGTTATAGTTCCTGAATACCAGTATTCGGTCTCCGATCGTGCTACTTTGCGCCTAGGCTCTACCATAGTCGCATATTCTCCGCAAGCTCAACGCTGCGCTATGTTTGTATCGTCCTGTTATTCACATTCTCTACGACAAGGTCTCAATAGGACTTTCAATCTCTTAAACTCTTTGCAACTTATCCTATCTAATTCATCCTTAAGTTATGTCAACATTTCCGCCCTCTTCGCTGTCTCCAAAACATTTTGCCACTCTGATCCCCCTGGTTAAGTTCACTAAGCGTGTACAACTTGAGCTGCGGGGTATAAGTAGGTGACAGATTTGGGCTTAAACATCATTTTTTGGTTGCAAAATGTTTAAAGTTAAGCTTTAAAATTATCAGTACCCGTTATACTTTCGCATTTGCAGCCTCCAAACCCACACAACCCTCGCCTCGGCATGCTAATTGGCATGTTGTATGCGCTGCGTACCTGCTGTAACCACTGTGCTTGAAGTTTGCCTGGAATCGCATTCGCTTGCAGTCGAGCCGCGAGTACCGAGCGGAAGGAAGAACAGTATGTTCTGGAAGGCGGGAGAGAGGCTGCAAGGCCAATTTACAGAATGGCACAGCGAAGGGATGCTAACGAAGTGTCATCACTGCGAAAAGCCATTGTGGCGAAGAGCCATCCCAGCCCCTCTAAAGCACCAGCCGATCGCTGGGAACCCAGCCACAACAGCAATTCGACTGCACCGAGCTTTTCCTATCCGTTGAGCCGCCATCCTCGCCTCTTTGCTGACCAGTAGAGTTTTGTGTAACACCCAGCGCTGTGACCAGACCCTTGTGACCGTCAGACGAATATCATAGCCATAACGCCTGACCACTATTTTCTTCCGAAAGTAGTGCACCATCGTGTGAGATAGGCATGGGTACCATTCGTCAATCCGCAACACTCACAGTGGTCGTTTTGTTTGCCCTTGTGGCCGCCATTTTCGCGACACCAGCAGCGGCTCACAACTTCTGCTTCTACGAGTGCTCCGTCTTCGCCAACGCGCCCTCAGACTGCCTTCGCACGTGGTACATCTACAGCGAAACAGACTTCTGCGACTCCGATCACAAATTCGACAGCGTGTTGCGAGTCACAGACCTTGACGGGTTACCCTCTTTCGCTAACTCCTCAGCGTGCGAAGGATTGAGCAGCGCGCAGGTGTACGGTCAGCTGGAGAACACCACGCAGCACGGAAATGGAACACTGGAGGTGCTCGGCGAGAAGGACTATAACGAGGCAGCGTACGACGAGTACGTGGGGGGATGGGCGCGGGGCGAGAGCAGTCCAAGTGCATCAAGTGGTCGCCCGCCGCCGAGACGTACGGCAGCTGGGGACGACGGCGCGGCGGCCGCGTGTACCTCAGCTGCTGGGAGCGCCTCTCGTGCTCCAACGCCTTCGGCTTCGACGTCTCCGCCGCCGACGGCGACGCCGCGCCCCCACAGTCGCCGCAGAAGCTGCGCTGAAGCGGAAGAGGAAAGACGGACGGCAAGGCTGCCGTTGGATAGACGCGCAGTGCCCGTGTGAAGCGATGCGGTAAGGAGGCAGCTGAACAGGCGGTGGCGCAGCCGTGCATTCCGCGCCAGCTGGCAGTGAGGCCGCGAGGAATCGCCTGGGTACGCCCAGGCGAGCGCTCGGGGCTCGGGGCTCGAGGCGAGTACAGCGACGTCGAGTGCACACATCAACTACGCCGGTGCTGGATTAGGCGTGGCTACTGTCAAATAGTTCTAAAAAATATATGTAGTATAATAAAGTATGGGTTGATAGATACCATTGGGTTCGCGCTGGCTTGCAACTACAATGGCAATGTGCGTGTTTGTTGATGAAGTATGAAGTAGTTCAACAGCAGAGTTCAATACGCATATTCTAAAACGGGAACCTCTCAAACATGCTCAGCAACTTCAGGCTGTGCTGAATCTAATCTTGTGAGTCTTCCGCACTTCCCAAACTGGCTAACAACATTCCATTCCATTTAGACCAGACTTTCTCCATGGGACTACACGGACTGATACTGCTGATGCATCAGTAGTACTCTGTTCTGAAGGGCGCATCTCGGCCCAACACGAACCACAGTACAGCTTGAATTCAATCCCTCCTGGGGAGGGATCCGCTGACACTGGCAGACTGGCTAGCTCGTGATAGGAGGGACAATGGGAGGCCAGTGCAAGGATGTGACAGCAGCACGCACAGTGACTGCCTCTTGTTGAAGAAGAACCTACTAGCGCACTCGTGCACTGTCCCTCTCCTATGCAATGCACGGCAGCCCATGGGAGAACACGGTTGCTTGGGTCTTCCACACACATGTCTCAATGCTGCTGCTTGGGAGCCTTTCTCGCAGGCACTTCTGGGGATATGGAGCGGCCACGCACCCCCATCCACGGCCAGACATGTCCGAGTTGAGAGCGTGGAGCAGGCAGGTTGGCGAAGCAGCGACCAAGAAACCAAGTGAACGGCGTCCCCAGCAGCCGCGTGGAGGTGTGGCACGCAGATCATGCTGGGCGCGCACGCGAGGGAGGGCGGGGTGGCGCTGGCAGGGGTGCGGTGGGCATGCTGGGGAAGTCGGGCGCCACCTCCACGTGCTGCTCCCCCTGCCCTCCGCCATGCCGTGGTGTGTGGTGGGCGCATGGCATGCATGGGGGGGATGATGGGGGTAAGCACTCATGGGTGCAGTCATGGGTGCACTCATGGGTGCACGTGGTGCGAGGAAAGGGTGGTTGGGAACAAGGGGAGGGTGGGAACGAGGGGGGGGGCGAGGAGTACCTGCAGGAGGGCGAGTACCTGCAGGAGGGCGAGTACCTGCAGGAGGGCGAGTACCTGCAGGAGGGGCGAGTGCCTGCAGGAGGGCGAGTGCCTGCAGGAGGGCGAGTGCCTGCAGGAGGGCGAGTGCCTGCAGGAGGGCGAGTGCCTGCAGGAGGGCGAGTACCTGCAGGAGGGCGAGTGCCTGCAGGAGGGCGAGGAGGGCGGCGAGCAGCGAGTTGAGCAGCAAGACGAGGCAGAACACATTGCCCGCCACCACCCCACACGCGTAGTACCTGCCGTGTGCCACCGCAGCACCATGGCACGGCAGCACGGTGTGAGGGCAGCATGGAAATTACGTTCAGTCATGCGAAATCCAGTGAGGCGGATCGGGAGTGCAGCGAGTGTGAGGTGGGAGGTTGACGTGCGAGGCACAGCTCAGGCAGAGGCAGAGGAGCACTCTCGAGTGACAGAGGAGCGCTCTCGAGTGACAGCAAGCCAGTGAGAGGTGGTGTGAGGGGCGGAGGAGCGAGCGGGTGCCATGGGCGCCCTGGAGAGGGCGGGGGGGCGCACTGGAGAGGCGGGTGGGCGCACCTGGAGAGGCGGGTGGGCGCACTGGAGAGGTGGGTGGGCAGGTCGTCGAGCGGCATGGCCATGACGCGGTCGTACACGCGCTCCTCGTGCGCTCCGTCACGTCGTGCCAGCTGTACATGCGCGACACCTGGCCGCCCCCCATCCCCATGCGCGCGTGGTGATGCGGTGCAACCAGGAGATGCGCGTGGTGATGCGGTGCAACCAGAGATGCGCGTGGTGATGCGGTGCAACCAGGAGATGCGCGTGGTGATGCGGTGCAACCAGGAGATGTGCGTGGTGATGCGGTGCAACCAGGAGATGCACGTGGTGATGCGGTGCAACCAGGAGATGCGCGTGGTGATGCGGTGCAACCAAGAGATGCGCGTGGTGATGCGGTGCAACCAGGAGATGCGCGTGGTGGAGGGCAGCAGGGTGGGGGACAGTGGGGAGGGGGGCATGAGTGCGGCAGAGAGGCGCAGCACAGAGTGCGGCAGAGAGGCGCAGCACAGAGTGCGCAGAGAGGCCGCAGCACAGAGTGCGGCAGGCAGAGCGGGTGCACAAAGCCCATGGCACGGCGTGGGAGCCGCTGATCTTAAGAAGAGTGAATTCTGAGAGGGTGTTTTGAGAAGCCTCAAGAATGAGCGTGGGACACGCGGAGGCTGTGCATGGAGTGCAGGGTGCGATGGAGTGCAGGGTGCGATGGGGTTGTGAGAACACACGCACCCGCTCGTGCATGGCCTGGGGGTTGACACGTGGCACGATCTGAATGGCCTGTGCGATGGCGTCCACTATGTCTGGCGGGGGTCCGCCAGCAGCATCATGTCCGGTGGTAGCACCTGGTGGTGGGGGGGGGAGGGGGGGAGGGGGGGGGGGGGGGGGGGGGGGAGGAGGAGGGGGGAAGGAGGGGGTTGTGGACGGTTGGGACATTCGGGGAGGAGGAGGGGGGTGGAAGCGGAGGGACGGGAAGATCCATGGGCAGGGAAGGAGCATAGGGAGGAGAGTGTGGGAAGAAAGGAGGGCAAGGGACGGAAAGAAGTCGCAGAGGAGAGGGCGTAATGGTGGGCACGGCAGGGGAGGCGTAGTAGGGGAGAGAGTAAGGTGTGGAAAGGCAAGACGTGACTGCACTGTCGTTGCAGGCTGCTCTCTCACACACACCTTTCACCACCCATGTGCATCCCACCCCAACAACCCATGCGCCCTCACCTCCCCTTTCCTCCCCTCCCTCACTGCACCTCACCTCACCGGACCGCACCTCACCCACCTCGGGCACGCCACCAACACGCGTGGCGACAACGAAGAGACCGCAGCAGGCGGCCTCGAGAATGGCAATGCAGAAGGCCTCTGTCAGCGAGCTGGGGGGGGGTGAGAGCGAGAGAGAGAGAGAGAGAGAGAGAGAGAGAGAGAGAGAGAGAGAGAGAGAGAGAGAGAGAGAGAGAGAGAGAGAGAGAGAGAGAGAGAGAGAGAGAGAGAGGGGCGAGGCATGGCATGCAGGCTTGAGCAGCGCACAGCAGCGAGATGTGAGAGAAGGACGGATGGGAGAAGGCGCAGAGGGAAGCTGCAAAAGGAGGGGAGATGAGGAGAGGAGAAGGAAGTGAGTGGGCAAGGCGAGACACACACAGAAGCGGAGAACTGTGCAGAGAGTTGTGTGGTGCGAGGTGGATGGGGGGCGAGGCGGGGAGAGGCGACAAGGGCGAGATGAGTGAGGAGGAGTGGTGAAGCGAGGAAAGAGAGCAAAAGCAGTGTGGTGTTGGATTGGAGAGTACGAGAATAGTGCAGACGCAATGTCTGATGAGGGCGTGGGGCTGACATGCACCTTCATCTCCTCCAGCCGCCCCTCTTGGCGCTGTCGCCGCCTATTATCCACCACACCTGCTGCCATGGGACATGCCACGCCACACCAACGCACGGGCCCGGCCAGTGCGCATCAACATACAGAGACCCACACGACATGCACACATACACGCACCCACGCACCACCCCACCCCACCCCCACCTCACACGCCCCCACGCTCGCCCGCTCGCGCGCACACATTCAACCCGGCCCCCACCCCCCCCCCCACCCTTCTCCACACCCCAACCTTCCCATACACGCACGCACGCAACCACACCCACGCACGCACACACCACCCACGCACGCACAGGCACATGCAACAAACATACACGCACACAGACAATGCATTGTTCAGAGAATGTAATGCACCATAGCAGCACGGTGAGTGCACCATAGCAGCACGGTGACTGCATCCAAGCGGGTGGGCCAATGCGCGCAAGCATCACCAGTGGCACGCGCTTGCACCTTGGGGAAGCAGTGGCAGACGGCGGGGATGACGTCAAAGAGCAGGTCAGCGCCCTTGCGGTACACGAGGCGGCTGATCACCACTATCACAACTCCATCTCCACCTCCATCTCCACCTCCATCTCCACCTCCATCTCCACCTCCATCTCCCCTCTCGCCCCCCCCCTCGCCTCCATGCCCGCCCCTGCCCTCATCTCCGTACCAGCCCCATGGCGCTCCCCTGCTGCCTGCCACGTGCCTGCCTGCCTCCACTGCCATGCTGCTCTGCCACCTTGCTCCTCCCCCCTCTGCTCCTCCCCCCTCTGCTCCTCCCCCCCCACCCTCCCCCCCACCTCAGCCGCTGGAGGGTGTGCCGTGCTGGCTGCTGTCTCCGCCTCCGCCCCTTCTCTGCTCCACGCTCCTTCCCTTGCCCCTCCCTCCTCTTCCCTCCCCCCAGCCCCCCCTGCCTCGCTCTGCCCCACTGTCCCACCTGCCCCGTTTCTGCTCCTCCCCCATCCGCTGCATGTGCTGCTGCCTCACTGCCTGCAGCCCTGCACGCCACGGCACCCTCCCCATCCTCCATATCCCATTCCGCGCCCCACACTGCTGCTCTCCCTCCTGCCGCCTCGTTCCGCGCGCTATCAGCGGCAGCAGCGTCCGAGAAGCACCCGCACGCGCGGGCAGCAGCAGCAGCATGCATGGGGGCGCGGGGGCAGTGGCGGGGGTCGGGGAGGAAGTTGTTGGCGTCGACGGCGTTGGGGATGACGGCCACCGCGGTGCGGCGGCAGCGAGGGCGCGGCGCGCAGCACCGTGTTCTCCTTGCTCGTGTGTGACACACAGATCGCCGCGCGTGGATGCCCGCCATCGAGAACTACAGCAGATGTGAGGGGGGGAAGGGAAGGGAGGTGGGAAGAAAAAAGGGAGGCAGGAGGCTAAGGCGGAGGTTGTGGGGCGCAAGATATGTGAGGGAACCCAATCCAATCCACTGGATTGGACTACAGGGCGTTCCAACGAGTAGCTGGCGGCTGATGCATGCCACGGCACGGCTCCTCGTGCATCTCACACCCACCCACCCACTTACACACCACCCATCCAACGGCCCACCACCTACCCATGCACCCCCCCCCCCCCCTCCACCCTCCCTCGGAGCACCTTGTCATGTGGATGCTGGCGGCGCACCTTGTTCATGTGGATGCTGGCGGCGCACCTTGTTCATGTGGATGCTGGCGGCGTCAGTGAAGCCACAGAGCGAGTGGTCGGTGAAGACGGCGCGGCGGGGGCGAGCGTGGGGGCATGCAACAGCGCGTCATGGCACATGGGAGCGAAGCTCTGGTGCGCGTGCATGATGGCCACGCGCTCGCGCTCCACTATGGCGCGAAACAGCGGCAGCGACAGACAGGGGAGCGCGAGGGGGGCGTTGCCCCGTGAGATTGGGAGTGGGGGGGGAGAGAGGGGGCGAAGGGAAGGGGAAGGTGGGGAAAAGTGGGTAGGGTGGGTAGATGGGGGCAGGGCATGGATTGGGATTGTAGATGCGAGCTGTGGTGGGTGTGCAAGAGGTGTGTTCTATCCTATGATCACATTAGTGAGGAGAGACAGGCAGCCGAGGTGAGCTGAAGCACATGGGACCACGGGCAACGACCGATAGTCTAAAAGCGAATGGTCCAATCTGGTGGGAAGGCGAAGGGGTGGATGGCGGACGGGGAATGGAGGATGGAGGATGGGGAGGGATAAGGGGCAAGTAACGACATCTCCTCAATGTGCATGCAAGTCCAACATCCACCTGCAGCCACACGGGGCGGCGCGGTGCGTAGTAGACCTTGAGGCCGTTGGTGAGGTAGCGCACTCCCACTCGGTCGCGTACGTACGCGTGCGTCAGCACCACCACCTGCACCACGGCATGGCAGGGCATGGCAGGGCAGGGAGGGGCGCGCGGGGTTTGGGGGGCGTGGGCAAGCCCGTGTGAGACGACATCATCCAACTCCGGCCCCCACGTGCGCCTCTCACACTATCGCGCTCACAGCAACCTCCTTCCTGCCCGCGCCCAAAAGGGACACCTCCCCTTCACTCACAAACACGCCTACGCCCGCCATCCCCCAGCCACTCGCTACGCGCGATGCTGCCACGTAAGACTCGAGACCTAATCGCTGTGTCACCTTGGCGCGTGGCGACGTCACCTTGTTGGCCGCGCTGTAGCAGGCACTGCGCGAGCAGGTAGATGTGGCTCTCCACGCCGCCGAAGTTGGGGAAGAAGAAGTCGCACACCATCAGCACGCAATGTCGCCTGCGATCGCATGCGACATTCGGATCGTCGTCGTGAGACCAATGGTGCGCTGCTATCACTGACGGAACTGCTCCCGCCATTCGCCTTAGCGACGAATTCCGCCTACGACTCGCGACTGATTTCGCCTACGACGCGTGACTGGTTTCGCCTATGACGCGCGATTGGTTTCGCCTACGATGCGCGCGACTGGTTTCGCCTACGACGCGCGATTGGTTTCGCCTACGAGTCGCGACTGGTTTCGCCTACGACGCCGCGATTTGGTTTCGCCTAGGACTCGCGACTGGTTTCGCCTACGACGCGCGACTGGTTTCGCCTACGACGCGCGATTGGTTTCGCCTACGACGCGCGACTGGGTTCGCATACGACGCGCGATTGGTTTCGCCTACGACTCGCGACTGGTCCGTAGCTTGGAGCCACGCTGGGGGGGTATTGTGAGTGATAACGTCATGAAAGCTAACACACGTCGCATAAAAACAGGTTGGGACCCTTGTCTGCAATGGTGACCGTTTGGCGGGCAATCTATGGAAAATCTGTCTTTACTCAATTTGAGGTGCAGAGGGTTTACTGTAGAGATAAATACTAGAAAACTATTTTCATACAGACTCAGCCAATGTGGGTGCCACGAATCCGTCGAGATTTCGCTAGTGGAACGTTTCACCAGAATCTCAACCAATCATGGCCCGAGCAGAGTCAGCATACGAGCCGCCATGGATTCACAGACCGTTCCATGCCCCAGTGACGCAACGAACGACATTTCCCGAGGAGGGCTGAAGCAAAGCAGGGAGCGGAGGATTCACAGCAGAGGAGCAATTCAGGATCGAGGTTCCATGACTCGAGTGTCGAGTCCAGCAGCCAACTGGAAAGTTTCAGCAAGGAGCAAGCTCGAGTGCTTTCGGCATTCTCAGTGTCCACGGCAGCAAGCTTCCAACAACCCATGGCGTTCTGGCGCGCCCGGGCATGGAGCACCACCTCTCTGTGGGGCTCTCTGCACCACCCTCCTGTGGTGGGCACCGTGCCCCCTTGTGCGACCCTTTTAACTCGCCCTTCTTTGCTCACAGCGTTGTGATCGCAACCCAAGCGCACCCAACACGCACTCCGCGACTGTCAGAGTCCGAGAGGCTCTCCGTCCCCCTTCACCGCACACGCTCACCGCCGCACGGCTGAGAGACGCCGGTACCGCGCCACCTCCTTAACTCGCATCCCGCGTTGCGATGGAGCTCTCGCAGGCCCGGGTGCCGCCACGTGCACGCCGTCGTGGTGACGTCCGCGCTTGTCGCCGCAGGCGTCGCCGCGTTCTCCAGCGGGGCGCTCTCGCGCACCGCGGCGGGCGTAACTACGGGGCGGCGCGGGGAAGGAGGCTACTAATTCCCGTTTCCGACGCGGCTTCCGCGAAAGCGTCGAAGGCGATGGACGGCGTTGTTGGCGTGGCTGCCCGCGGAGATCGCGACGTCGCTCGACGACTTCCCCTTCTTCCTCAAGTGAGCCGCTTTCCCTCCTGCCACTCGCCGGTGATTTATTTGCTAAGCAAGTCGTTGAATCTGACTCACGGTCGTGTGTCGCCGCGCAGCAAGAAGACGCGCGAGCTGCTCACCGCGTCGGCTGGGAGGACGTTCCTCTGCGAGGGCGCTTCGAAGCGGTTTCACTCCATCACCGTGCGAGGCCCCGAAGGTACCCCTCGCATCGCATCTCGCCGCAGATCGGAGCGTATTCGTACTTGTCGTGTGCTTCCGCTTTATCTTGATCGTTTCGACGGCGTGACGGCGAGTGCCTGACGAAGCGGGTGTGCGGTGCTGTGCGGTGTGCAGGGTCGGTGCGGTACCAGGCGGAGCTGTGCAAGGGGCTGGCCAAGAAGTTCGACGCCGCCCTGTTCCTCCTCGACGCCTCCTTCGTGCACCTGCTCTCGCAGGTGCCTGGTTCCGTTCTTTCGTGCAGCGCCGTTGTATCCGTCAAGGCTTCTTCTTTTTTTTCAAAGTTGCAAATCTAAACGACCGTCCGTGTGTGGCAGAGCTCGTACTGGCGGGGTGCGTCGAGCAGCCGCAGAAAGCCCGCGATCTGGACTGGAGGTGAGCATTCCGCTGCTGCATCACCTTGTGGGGTGCTCCGTTACACTCGGACTCTGCGGCTGTGCGGGGACATCACCGTGTTTGACGCTCACGCGTGACATGGAATCTCCTCGTTGTCATGGCAGGATCGGGCTTCGCCTATTTCACGGAGAAAGGGGACGCAGCTGCCACGCTTCAGGTGAGCTACGAGTCACCTCATCCAGCCTTTACTGTCGATCCATCCGAGACAGCTGTTGGAAAAAGAGACTTTCTGAACGTCTCTTTTTTTACATTCTTCCGCAGGCCATCCCAAGGCCTCTCATGCGCGCCCCAGTGATCTGCCTGGTGGCGAGCGCGGATGGCTGTGCGGCAGCGCTGGCCCAGACCCTGGCGAAGCGGGTGGAGGGGTCCCCATGGCATGCTCGTCGTTGCCTCCTGCACTGCTGCCTGCGAGGTGAGCCTGCGGCTCCGCGGAATTGCTTTCATTTGTCCATCTGTTTCGTGTGGATGGGTATGGCCTATGTGGCAACCGGCTCACTCACCCGTGCGTGTTGATCTGCACAGGACGTGCACGCAGCATCTTACTCTGACGTGGAAGTGCGCGCTCCCAAGGTACGCCTGCCGCCCTGCTGAGTGAATCTTGCATCGTCAGGCTGACAATGTCTCTCAGGGCGTGCTGACGAGTGAAGAGTGGTGTGGTGGTTGCAGGAGGGAGAGGAAGGTGCGGGCGTGGGAGGCGATGCTCAAGGAGCAGAGTCACTACATGGTGTGCGAGCGGAACATGCAGGCCATCTTCCTGGTGCGTGACAGAATTGTGCTTCTGCTGGTGCTCGCTTTTCTAAATACATCGTCCTTCTCATGGGTGGTGCAAATGCTGCAAGTGGCCTCACGTCTGTCTGTCTCACCTCTCTCTGAGTGCAGGCGCTGAAGGCGCGCAAGGTGACGTGGGATGAGGACGTGGCAGACGCGCGGTTCAACTTCACGGCCGCGCCACTGCGATGGTACGCTGCGCTGCTCGCTGTGCGCTCACATGATCCACTTAGCCCGGTCAGGGGAGTTTCTTCTAATCGGTTCTGTGCGGTGCGTGGGCGTGCAGAGGTGGAGGACATCATCAACATGGCCTGTCGGAGCAGATGCTTGCCGGCCGCACCAACGCGCAGTTGCACGTCACACGCGACAGGTGCGTGTGCCTCCTTGCTCATGCCTTTCATGGCCTCATCCGGCACGGCGCTCACGGCGCTGACAGCATGTGTGCTGTCGATTGAATGCGTCAGGCTGGAGTACTCGCTGAGTCTCTTCTTCGATGAGGATGGTGCATGCCATGAGAAGACCGCCGTCACCAACGGCCAGGTACCCATCACTGCCCTGCGCACATGTGCATGTAGATGTGCATTCCGTGTTCTACTTATTTATAACTGCAACGTCATTGTTGTGCGTGCAGGTGGGGCAGGGCAAGGAGAGCAGTGGCGGTGCACAAGGCGGGTGCTGCGCGTGGGCATCCCCAAGGGCGACGAGGGGCGCGGGCTCCAAGGTGGGCACGCCCAGGGGCGATGCGGTGAGGACGCCCCGGGCAGCGGAGGCACTTGCTGCCAAGTCGCCTCTCCCAAGGTGGCCACGCCTAAGAAGCCAGCTCCAGCCCCTGCCCCGGCAGCGGCATCTGTAAGTTCACAACAATCCTGCGCTGCATCATGCTCCCTGCTCCCACCTCCTGGCTTCCAAGCTCGCATGGTTTGCTAACGCGGGGATTTTCCCCGCTGTGCGGGCGGGGCAGGACGACAACGACTTTGAGAAGCGCATCCGCCCGGAGATCCTGGGCGCCGGCAGCATCGGAGTGACGTTTGAGTCCATTGGAGCGCTGGAGAGCGTGAAGGAGTCGCTGCGGGAGCTGGTGCTCGTGCCGCTCAAGCACCCCGAGATCTTCAACAAGGGCGGCCTGCTGCAGGTGAGGTCAACACTTTCACTTCGCTACTTTGACTTCTTTCTCTTCTTTTAGGCTCACTTGCGGTTTTATGTCTTGAGAGCTTCTGACGCAACGCTACTTGGTGTGGTGGCAGGCGTGCAAGGGCATTCTGCTGTTCGGCCCGCGGGCACGGGCAAGACGATGCTGGCCAAGGCGGTGGCACGGAGTGTGGGGCGAGCTTCATCAACGTGTCCATGTCCACCATCACCTCCAAGGTGGGCGGCTCTTACGATTTGATCTATTAAGGATTTTACTAGTTAATCGAGGATTTGCGGTTCTGGTATCAATGTCTGATTGGGTTGTGTGGTGTGCATGCGTGGCGTGCAGTGGTGTCGGTGAGGACGAGAAGAACGTGAGGGCACTGTTCACGCTGGCGGAGAAGGTGGCGCCCACCGTCATCTTCATCGACGAGGTGCGCTCTCTCCCCACACCCTCATGCACTCGCGCGCCATCAGCCTTCAACGCCCCGTCACACCCATAAGCGTTTTAATTGGCTGGGTTCGTGTTCGTTTGGGTGGTTCACATTGATCGTTTCGCATGCTGCGGTGGCAGGTGGACAGCATGTTGGGGCAGCGCAAGGGGGCGGGGAGCACGAGGCGATGAGGAAGATAAAGAACGAGTTCATGACGCACTGGGACGGGCTCGCCTCCAAGGCGGGCAGCCGTGTGCTCGTGCTCGCCGCCACCAACCGCCCCTTCGACCTCGATGAGGCCATCATCCGCCGCTTCCAGCGCCGTGTGAGACCACACCATGCGCGCCATCCTCTTGCACTTCATTTACTCTCGGTCTATCATTGCATCCTGTTTTGATTATGTGTGAACCGCATCTCTTATTGGCCCCATTCTCGTCCTCGTTATTGTTTGCTGCAGCATCATGGTGGGGCTGCCGGCGCGGGCAACAGGGAGCTCATTCTGCGCTTCATCCTGCAGCACGAGCACGTGGATGCTGACGTGGACTACTGTGAGCTCGCGCAGCTCACTGAAGGCTTCTCAGGGAGGACCTCAAGGTGAGTCTCTGTGTTGCAGATTCAGTTATTCTCCTCGGTGCTAATGCAAGAGTGCTATCCTGTATGGGTGTTTCGCAGACTCTCTGCACCGCAGCAGCTTATGGCGTACTGAGGGAGGCTCTTGCAGCAGCAGTAAGGTAACTCTTCAGCTTTGCATTTGTCCCTTTCTGCACTGTCTGAGCACTCATGCATTTCCCTGCCCATCTGTTTTCAGGATGACGGTGCTAACGAGGAAGCATTGAAGCTGAGGCACTGACCTTGAAGGACTTCGTGAGGGCAAGAACCAGGCAAGTTGTGCCATGGGTGGTATCTTGACCTGCACCCGTGATATACGGTACATACATGGTTATTAACCATGCTGCTTTGTGAGTATGCTGCAGGTGTCGGCCAGTGTGGCTGGTGAGGCGCAAAGCATGCAAGAGCTCAAGGAGTGGAAAACATACTTATGGGGAGGGTGGGAACCGCAAGAAGGCTGTACTTTCCTATTTTCTGTGATTGTATGACAATTTACAACAGAAACAGCTGTTTTCTGTGATTGTATGAGCAAAAGAATCTTATTGTAGTAAGGTACCAGTCTCAACTTTGAATGTTTTTGCAAATTTTGTAACTAGCCAAGGTTTACCAACCAGGATAATGTTGAGATACAATAGTAATTTAAGTAGGCCATGATTAGGAGAGTAGCCAAGGGAGTTTGATTTTGATGAGAGTGTTGTGAAGTACCAGATAAAAACTGAAGTTACAATAATGGTGGCCCACTACAGCCTAGCATAACTAGCAACACATATAAATATATGTTCTGACACACACCTGTCAAAATGCACACGCGTTAGGGACAAAGCCAAGGAAGACGAAGCTGACCCCGCTGCTGCAAACTCTCGAGCCAGTAAGTAGCGCAGAGCAATGTGCTTCGTTCTGTCTCCAGTCTGTGCTCCTGACACAAGGCAATGGCGGCCTTGTTGTCGACGTACAGGACCGGAGGAGAACGAGGACCGCTCACCCAAGTTCGGTCAGCAGGTAGGTCAGCCAGTGGTAACTCCTGTGGAGCCAGGGCCCTCGCATAGATCTCATCCTCACATCTGGAGCTGAGAACAAAGA